CCACTCCCCATCACAGCAGAGCTTTTCAAAACATATCTTATCTGCAATTAGGATCATGAGAGATAAAAGTCAGGAACACACTTACTGGTGAAATATACTGTATTTCCTGTTGGGAAGCTAAGGCTTCTAACGTGGCACTTGACATGGCTTAAAAAGCCTTGCTCTGCTGACTGTGGAACAAGGACAGAGCTTGCAAGTATGCCTATTTTTATTTTAAAAGAGTTAAATTAATCTGTACTGATATTTAATATCAGATTGAAACTGGCTCTCTCCCCTAGTCCACTTCCCCTATTCTTTGCACCAGATCTATCAAAGTCATGTCAAGTTAATAAAAACATTTTGAAAAATATTGAGTTTTGTCCCTTGTTGTACATGTCGTTTCACTTATTAAACAATTTTTATATTTGCACTTAAACTTTAAAACCAACACATTGAAATAAGTTTTAAAATATTTTCAGTGAAGCCCTGACTGGTGTAATCACTGGTGCACCAGTGATTAGACCATCAATTGAGCCATGGGCTCAATTCCCAGTCAAGGGCAAGTATTTTAGATGCAAGTTTAATCCCGACACCAGTCGAAGTGTGTGCAAGAAGCAACCAATAAATGTATCTCTCACATAGATGTTTCTCTACCACCCTCTCCCCCTTTCACTCTCTTAAAAAAAATCTTTTCAGTGAAATTTTGGTAGTAAGACTCAAAACTAAGAGAACAAATTTATCTTTTCTATTTATTTACATACTAGAGGCCCGGTGCACGAAATTCATGCATGGGGTAGGTGTGTCCCTCAGCCGGCCCACACCCTTTCCATTCTGGGACCCCCTCGGGGGATGTCTGTCTCTCAATCTGGGAACCCTGGCTCCTAACTGCTTGCCTGCCTGCCTGCCTGCCTGCAAGATGGTCCATACCCTCTCTGCCTGCCTTCCTGATGGCCTCTAACTCCTCTGCCTGCCTGCCTGATGGCCCCTAACTACCTCTGCACACCTGCTGGCCTGATCACCCCTAACTACTTCCGCACACCTGAAGGCTTGATTGCCCTTAACTTGCCCCCCAGCCTGATCACCCCTAACTGCCTCTGCTTTGGCCCACAGCCTAAGCCACAGTCTGGCCTCCTTCTGCTGAGGCGAACTGGCCAATCAGGGTAAGGCGCCAACCCTATTACCCTGCTGCTGCTTCCACTGACTGCTACCATTGCTGCCTGAGCCTCGGGCAGCTGCTAAGGACTTCCAGATGGTCGTCAGGAAAACATCCGCACTAATTAGCATATTATCCTTTATTAGTATAGATTTACCATTTCTGGCTTCCCTCATTACTTGGTATACATCCAAATGCCTACATGACACCATTTTCCTTCTCCAAAAAATAACTTTTATTATTTTCTATGTAGCATATAGTCTGCTGGGTATGTGTTCCCTCAGATTTTGTGTGAAAGTTCTTATTTTGCCTTCATTTCCTGAAAGGTATTTTTGCTGGGCGATAACTCAAGGTTGACAGTTATTTTCTTTCCAATTTTATGTTCTTCTCTTTGTCACTGCTTTAATCAAATGGATTATGATATATCTTAAGGTAGTTACTTTTGTTTCTTCTGCTTGGTATTCATTAAGCTTCTTAGATCTGAAGGATTATAGTTTTCACCAGATCTAAAATTTTTTCAACTACTACTTCAAATATTTTTTCTGTCCCCACTTTCTCTCTATTACTTATTTTATCAATAAGTAAAACCAATTGATATTGTCTCTCAGGTCATTGATGCTAAAACCCTTAGTCCTTTCTATACATTTTAGATGGTTTCTATTGCTTTATCTTCCAATTCATTAATATTTTCTTCTCTATTCTCCAACCTCCTGATAATTCCATCCAGTGGTTTTCATTTCAGATATTGTATTCTTCACCCACAAAGTTCAATTTGAGGTTTCTTTTTAAACTTTCCATTTCTGTTACCATCATGTTCAAATTTCTTCCACTTTCTTGAATACATAGGATACATTTACAATAGCTCTTTTAAGGTCCTTGCTCCTTTTTCATTATGTCTTATCATTTCTGGGTCTCCTTAAATGGAATGATTTTTCTTTGAGTTATTGGTCACTATTTTCTCCTGTTCCCCCCCCTCCACCCCATATCTGATAAATTTTTTAAAAATCAAATAATGGACATTGTGAATTTTACTCTGATGATATTGTGGGTTCAGTTTCAAACTGCCACGATAAAGCAAGTATCACATAAAGCAAGCTGTAATCTTTGCTGGTGAAGGATTTTGCCTTCAGTTTGTAAAAGAACGCAACATCTGTAAAACATAATAAACCAATCACAATAATTAAAAAAAAAAAAAAGGTATGCCTGTACGTTTTTTTTTGTTTTTGTTTTGTTTGTTTGTTTGTTTAACATTCTATTGAATTTTGTTCTAAAATTAGTTTCATCTGTTTCCAGGATAGGTGCAAAGAAGCCTTAAGTTTAAGGTGAGATATTCTTTTAGAAATGCTATCCAATGCTTTGTTAGTTCTTTCCACTATGGCTTGTAAGAACAAAATTTTTTTGAGTTCCAGAAATTGCCTCACCAAATGCTTTTTAGGACTTATTTCTCCAGCTATCCAAGTTTTCTTACACATGTGTATAATTCAGTACTCAGCCAAAGCAAGTCTCATGATAAGTTCTACAGGATCTCTAAGTGCTCTCTCTTGTGCAGTTACAGCCATCTGGCACTCTGCCCCACACATTGTAGCTGCCTTGGCCTATCTAAACCCCATCTCCTCAACTCTGCAGAAAAACTAAGCTCTGTCTGCTTCCTCTTTTCTGTTGCTTATAAAATGCTTCTAGACAATAAACTGGCAATAATTTCAGGGCTTGCCTTACTTGTTTCAGTGGAAATTTCTCTCAGTATAACCATCCTATGCTACTTGTTCAGTATCTGAAACTGTCAAATTAGCATATTATCATATGTCAAATATTTTGTCATTTGCTAGTTGTTTAACTCAGGAGGGAAAATTCAGTCTTTGCTACTTCATTGTGGTCAGGATTCTGAGAAAATAAATGTAAAAAAGCAATATCTTTGATTTATAAGATCAACTCACTGATCTCAGAAAATATGAGAAGTCAGTATTTGAATTTTAACAAACCGCTATTTGATTGAGAGGACTATAAAAGGAATTATTATAAAGCAGATGAAACAAGCAACACACTTCTACATATCTGTACATGAGTTTCATGAGGGACAGATATTATAACCAAGTATAATACTATAATGAACTGATCCAAAAATCAGACCTAATAATAGTGATACCACAAAGAACTAATCTGAGATTAAGAAATGCTTTTATTGCCCTGGTTGGTTTGGCTCAATGGATAGAGCGTGGGCCTGCGGACTGAAGGGTGCCAGTTTTGATTCCAGCCAAGGGCACATGCCTGGGTTGTAGGCTCAATCCCCATGGGGTGTGTGCAGAAAACAGCCGATCAATGATGTTTCTATCTCTCTTCCTTTCCTTCCTCTCTCAAGAGAAAGAAAGAAAGAAAGAAAGAAAGAAAGAAAGAAAGAAAGAAAGAAAGAAAGAAAGAAAGAAAGAAAGAAAGAAAGAAAGAAAGAAAGAAAGAAAGAAAGAAGGGAGGGAGGGAGGGAGGGAGGGAGGGAGGGAGGGAGGGAGGGAGGGAGGGAGGGAGGGAGGGAGGGAGGGAGGGAGGGAGGGAGGGAACTTTTATTAAGTACTAGAGACCTGGTGTATGAACTTTGTGCACTACTCAGGGTGGGGAAGGGGGGTCCGTCAACCTCTTAGTCCAGGAGCCTTTGAGGGATGTACAGCTGATGGCTTAGGCCCGCTTCCCCTAAGCCATCAGTTGGACATCCTCAGCACTGCTGGGAAGTCAGGAGAGGCTCCTGCCACTGCCGTTGGGCTTGCCAGCTGTGAGCCCATTCTGGTTGAGAGGCACTCCCTCTGTGGGAACACACTGAACACTGGGGGCAGCTCCTGCAATGAAGTGTCTGCCCCCTGGTGGTCAGAGGGCGTCATAGCAACCGGTCATTGTGCTGCTTGGTCAATTTGTTAACCCTTGGTCAAAATATTATATAGGATAAATTATTTTTACATCATAAATAAAATTCTCAAATGTAAAAAAAAGGAATACAGAAATCATACATTATATGGTAAATGGGAACACGGGCCCCTTTCCATGTTCCCCCTCCCCCTCTCACCCTGTGGGGAATGTAGGGAAGGTCAACCGGTAAGTGGACTATGAGACTTGGGGAGATGAGCCAGCTCTTCAATCAAGAAAACAGCTAATATTTTTATCTCACACAGTGGTTATCCTCCTTCCCCTGCAGGCTCTGTTTTTCTCTTTTTCCTTTACTCTATAAAATCTTTTGTTGGGGAAGTCTGGTTGGCAGCAAAACAACAGTACTGGCTGCCCGCCCCCTGTGTGGCCTATCTGTAGGCTAGATGGGACTTAATGGCTCAACTTCACAAGTGGTAGCTGGTGCAGTGGGAAAAACTTTACCGCATGGCCACCCCCGATGTGCATGTACCAGTAGTCCTAATAAATAAGTTTCTTTCACAGCCAGTCATCAGGTCATTTCTTTGGAATCGGCAAGCATTACCCTGAGGTTTTGCCAAACCTCAGCACTTTGCATTACACACACAGAACTCAATTACTGAGTAAGAGATAAAGCTATGAAGGTGCATAATATATTCAGGGAAAGGATTGTAGTTGTTGCATTTAGTGAGAGAAAACAGTAGTAGAAGATGGTAACAAAAATATAATTTGGAATCAGTTCCCAACAATACCAATTCAGGATTTTTAGGGCAGCGAGACTATTTTGTATGATATTAAAAATGTACATTTACCAAATTACATTTGTCCAAATTTGTAAAATGTACACCAGGAATGAACCCTAATGAAAACACTACACATTGCAAAGTATATACTAAACATTTATTAAATATCAATGTAAATGGCTCAGTGTGGAGCGACAACAAAAGAAAGCTATATTTTTTTAAAGTAGAAATATTAAGCATACCTCTTTCTTCAGGCTTTACAGGAAAATACTTTTTCTCTGTAGATAGCAGCTCAGGCTTTGGGGCTAACAAAAAAAAAATAAAGTTCATACCTTTAAAAAAATCATTTTAGAGCATAAAAAACAATTTTAGTAAAGTAAGGGCTCATTTAAAAATAACATCAGATAAAAACATGGATCAACAGAAAGAACAATATAGCAGAATCACTAGGCTCAATTTAATGCTAAACATCCCACTGTTAGCATGAGTAAGTAATAACTCTGTAATCTCAGTTCTTTTTTTTTTGGGGGGCAAATGAAGGTATTCATGTCCTCTACATCACCATTGTTCAGAGAACTACAATGATGGAAATATTCTATTGCTGTGCTGATATTGACTGTTGAGACTTGAAATGCTGCTACTGCAACTGTGGAATGAAGTGTTTTATACTAGGAGCCCAGCGCGCGATTCAAAATGGTGGGATGTCACCCCCCTCAGTTCGCTGGTCAGGCCCTGCCTCACTCTCCGGGCCCTACAGCAGCCGTGGCCACTGCCGGTCTGGTCCTGCCTCCCCCTCCTGCCTTGGAAGCAGCCATTAGCTGCTGCTGAGCATACCCTCCCCCAGTGCAGATGCATGGAGGCCCCTGCTGCCCCACTCCTAACGCTGTGCAAGCAACCTCCTCCTGTCTGGTTGACCTGTTACGGTGTCCCAGTTAATTAGCATATTTCTCTATTATATCTATAGATAATTAGAAGTCCGGTGCACAAAATTTGTGCACAGGTAGGTTCCCTAGCCTGGCTGGCAATCAAGGCCAATCGGGGTCTTCCAGCTGCCAGCCAGGCCCTTCCTTCATTCCGCACCACCCGCTGGTGGTCAGTGAAAGTCATAGGAAATGATCCAACTCCTGATCGAAATCCAGAGGGAACACTTTGCATATTAGCCTTATACATACATAGAAAATTTTAATTAATTTTGTAGGACCAATATAACTAGTGTCTAAAAAGCCTCCAACACTATCTTATTATAAAAGTTATTTTTAACTTGTGTTTTTCATGGTCTGGGATTAGGTCAGCAGATTCACAAAGCTAAACTATTGAGCAGGAAAGGACTTTCATTATTCTAAAAAGAGCAAATCTTTCAGAAAAAATTGTACTGTATTTATCAACATCAAAAATTGGATGCTTTGAAATTCCTAGACATTCTTCTAGGTTTGTTTAATTCAACTGTTTAAAAAAATAAACTCTTCTAGTTTCTTTAATTCCTAACACTCTCTCTTAAGGAAGAGTACATAAAAAATAATTTGTCAGGTTAATATATTAAGTTTTTCTAGCAGATCTTAACTTAGTCAATTTTCTAATAAAAATGACATAGAACTACATTATATAAATTATTTTTCAACATTCCTATTTTATATTTCCTGTTTTAATATCTGTTGAAAAATACTAACAGATATTAATGCATGTGAACACTCAGTTTCTATATATTTCTAAAAATTGATACAGAGCACATACTTTTTTTGCTAATAAAAATAAATGATGTACATAAAACCAAAATTCACTATTTTAGAATTTAAAGATATAAAAACAGAAAACTAAAAAACAGTTTTCTTACATACCTGGACCCTTGGCAGGAGGTGGTGGTTTCTTTGGTTTCTATTAAAATAATAATGGTGAAAACAGTTTAATACTTACATATTAAATATACTTAAATTAAATTCTGATCATTAAAAATCAAAATTATATGAACATCTCTAAACCCCTACCTGCTAAAAATTATAAAATAAAATCCTAACAATGCCAAAAAAGGTCATGGAGAAAATTTTATTCTATTATAATACCTCCTTGATCAAAATTCAAAATTTATCAGTATTAGATAAACCTACAAATTCTTGAAGAGCAAAACTGTCTGTCCTGCCTCCCGTAATTTAAGAGTCCTATGTACCATTTCACTGGGTGTAACAGTTGACACTTGGGTGGGGAGGGATGGCAGGGGAAGGAAAAGAAATACTCATTGTTTAAACAACAAAAAACAGCAGCTAGTAAACATATGTAGCTTTCATTCTTGATTCTTTAGAATGCTCAAAAAGAAGATAACAGCAAAGGTATGTATTTCTTTAATTTATTAAAATTCTCTTATTTAGAAGGATTTACCTAATAAGTAAAAAAAAAAAAAAACTTTAGGCACCTTTCTAAGTATGTGAATTTTGTTTTTTCCAAATTTAAAATAACTAATAATCAATAGGGTATAAGCATCCAATAAAGACACCCCCTTCCCCCCCAAAAAAGGGGTATTCATTAAGAAAAGGCCCTGGCTAGGTAGTTGCTTATCTCCATACACTAAGGTTGTAAGTTCAATCCCCAATCAGGGCACATATAAGGATCAAGCAATAAATGCATAAATTAATCGAACAACAAATTGATGTTTCTTTCTCTCCCTAAATTCAATAAGCAGGAAAAAAAATAAATAAAAGTAAAGCACACTGGAGGCTGAATCAGTAGTGAATAAAATCCAGCTAAAGAAGGGCCTCAGACAGTGTGAGCCTCCAGAGTAATCTCTGATAACTTACTTAACTAAATAAAAGACTGAGAACATCAGCGAGTTCTGCATTGCTTAAATCAAATGTGGTAGACTGCCTTGCTGTGTAATTGCAATCTATCGTAACTCCCTTTCTCCCTATATGTTTTTAAAACTCAATTAGGTCCATCACTCCACAGGGAAGAAGGGATGAAGGTGCACAAAAACAAAAAATTACTGATGAAACTCAGATTCACTTTATTCACCATGAGAAGTAAAACAGATATATTAAATCCTATAAGGAGGCAAAGACCGATTTTTATCCTACAAAAAAATGAACTGACAGAGTAACAGCAAGGTCTATATTGCCTTATTTTAAACAAATTAAATAAAACTATAATGTCTTCCAGCTAAGTGCTAATTTATCTAACTAGTATGGCCAGCTTTTTTTCTTTTTCTTTTTTTACTGCATGTAGTATTTCATTTTTAAATAATTTATAAAAGGTATCTGTTTCCATATTAAAAGATGTGTGTGTGCTAGTGTTACTTTTCTGACCTTTAAAAAAAACTTTTAATGTTAACATTATTACAGTATCCCTCTTCCCCTACTGCTTTTTCCCATCTCCACCACCTGATTCCCTTTCCACTTAATTATAATAGAGTAATAAGTCCAGCTGGTATGGCTCAAAGGTTGAGCATTCACCTATGAACAAGGAAGTCTCGGTTTGATTCCCAGTTGGGGCACATGCCTATGTTGCAGGCTCAATCCCTAGCTGGGGGCATGCAGGAGGCGGCTGATCAATTCTCTCTCATCATTAATGTTTCTATTTCTCTCTCCCTCTCTCTTCCCCTCCGAAACCAATAGAAAATATTAAAAAAAGGAAAAAAGTAATGAGTCAAAGGTTATTTTTCAATATTATCAGTGGGGAAAGAAAACCAGTAATAAAGCACAGAGCTGAAATATTGTTGTTTTTACTATAATTCAAATAAGTTACTTATATCCTCATAAGAGTATTCAGTAACAATGTAAAAATCCTGTTTTTTTAAAAATATTGCCGAAACCGGTTTGGCTCAGTGGTAGAGCTTCGGTCTGCGGACTGAAGGATCCCAGGTTAGATTCCAGTCAAGGGCATGTACATTGGCTGCGGGCACATCCCCAGTAAGGGGTGTGCAGGAGGCAGCTGGTCGATGTTTCTCTCTCATCGACGTTTCTAGCTCTCTTTCTCTCTCCCTTCCTCTCTGTGAAAAATCAATAATACACACACACACACACACACACACACACACACACACACACACACACACACACTGTTAAGACGTTCTTTATACTATATCATCATTGAAAAATAAAGCTTACTGGAAAGTCCTTATCCAGTTCATTTATCTGAACAGCAAAATTGTCCGGAAATACTCCTTCTTTACCATTAAGTTCACCCTTCCACCAGCCAGCTTCTCCAGTCTCCTAAAATGCAACATGAAGAATAATTAAGATAATAAGGGTTATCTTTAAATAAGCAAAAAATTATTGAATTCCATTATTTTTGCAAGAGGAAAAAAAAATACCTTAACACATCATGAGATCATCCTAACAAAAAATATTCCTCAATATTGCTTCTAGCATTAGTTATAAGTTAGGTTTATAAGTTAAATGTTTTAAATTTAATTTACAAGGATAAAAAGTTTTGGGGGAGGAGAAAGGAAAAAGAAAAGTAGGAGAGGAGAGTGAAAAGAGAATATGACTTTCCAAACTGTATCTTACTAAACATTCTTCCCAACATTTCAATACTCAATATCAATCACATTATTCATTTGGTTTAGAAATTAACAAGCCCTTCTTCAATTCCTTCCAAATGCCATCCTTCCATGAGAAATTAGTCCATACTGTATGAATATTCAAAATGGCATACAGTGAACCAGCTGGTCATTAATTTAAAACAATAGAAATAAATTTCAAAAATGATTCAAAGGGATGAAAAACAAAATATTTATAATTTTGCTCTCTTACAAATACTAATTATAGAATTTCGATAGATCCCAATAATACTGTTTAGCTGCACTACTTTTCACTGTATAATTTTTACATGTTGAGGGACATTTAAATTGTTTCCTCATTATTCCTTGTGGGGTTTTTTTTAATATACATTAAAAACAATACAACAAACAGTAGGTTCAAATAAAATGGGATAAGGTAAAAAAAATAAAATAAGAACAGAAACCTGAAGGCGGGTTAAGGTTAAAGAAAAACACAATATGACAGTAAAAATAAATCCCAATAATATCAATTAAAACAAAGACAAAGTTGCCTAAACACACATACACATGCAAGCGCACATGACAAGTCCCAGCACTTCCAGGGCTCAGGTACCAGGGGGAATATAAGAATACTGAAAAAATGTTTCTATGAATAAATTACACATGATTTTCAAAGCAGAGAAAGATTTTACCTTACTTATCAAGTGGATTATGTCCCCCTCTTTAAAAGTAAGTTCATCTTCATTAGTACCTTCATAGGCAAATAATGCTCTGCAATAGTCCTTAGCTAAAATAAAGAATGTAAATAATATAACTTATATAGATTGATTCCACAAATACTTAAGTTTCTATCTAGTGCAAAGAAATGCATACTAGAAACTATTAAAATGAATTTAATAATTTTAGCTAATACCATATGTGAAATTAAGTAACAATTTCATTAATCATTCATTAACTGCTTACGAAGTTCCTGCTATGCTCTAGGCACAGTTCTGTCAGGGTAGTACATCAGTGAACAAAGCATATTAAAATCTTTGACCTCATGATACCTATAGCTAGCAGGATTTAATACACTGATCAAGTGGTATACTGTTGACAAATACCTTCAACAAATATAATAATAAAATTCTGAATATGTTTCATTCCTAGTATGAAAGTTTTATTGAAACACTTACCTTTTGTTTTACCTTCCGTGTCTGCTTTTGTTATCTCCGTGTTCTGAGTTCTGGATCCTAGTGATTGTATGATTGAGGGCTACAATAGAAAAGGATGAAATCAACTATTTTAAGTTAGAATAAAGAAAATGCTGTTAAACAAAGTTTCCATTTACAGGTATCCAGTTTTCACTAATAGTACTCAGTAACATGACTGAAAATTCTGCCATATGAAAGAGACAGATTTCAAAAGTGACTGAAATGATAGCTCAGAACATCTAACTTTTTAAACTTCCTGGTTTTATGATAAAAAATATTTTGATACCTATACATTACCTTAATTTTATAACCTCTAAAATAACAATAGCATTTAGAAACTTACTATGGGCCAATCCCTGATCTAAGAACTTGACATTCATTATAATTTAGTCTGCAGAACACCCTGTATAAGGCAGGCACTATCATTTATTCTTTTTACAGTTAATAATCCAACCATGAGAAGAGTAATTTAGTAGAACCCAGATTGAAACCCCAAAAGTATAACTCCAGAAAGTGAGCACTTAAACATCATTAAACGTCCTTATGAGACAGAGGTTAAAAAAAAAAAAAAAAAAAAAAAAGTCTTGGTACTTCATTGCTCCTATTGAAATGAAAATACCATTAAGGTCATTATAACTATAGTCAATATAACTATAGTCTAGTAGACAATTTTCCACTATAATTTACTACAGTTAAGTCCTTTGCCATTTTATACCATTTCCTTGAGTCCTATTCCCAGAAATAACATTCTATTTGAACTTAGATTTCATTGCTTCAGTTAAAAATCTGAACACACTGCTAATTTACTCACTGACTTTAGAGAGAGTAAGGGGGAGGGAGGCAGAGAGAGAAAGATCTATGTGAGACAAAAACATCAATAGGTTTGCCTTGCTCTAGCTGGTTTTGCTCAGTGGATAGAGCGTCAGCCTGCAGACTGAAGGGTCCCAGGTTCAATTCCAGTCAGGGGCACATGTGTGGTTTGCGGGCTTGATCCCCAGGTAGAGGATATGCAGGAGGCAGCCAATCAGTGACTCTCTCTCATCATTGATGTTTCTATCTCTCTTTTCCCCTCTCCCTACCTCTCTGAAATCAATAAAGATATATTTTTAAAAATGTAAAAATAGCCGAAACCAGTTTGGCTCAGTGGATAAAGCGTCGGTCTGCGGACTGAAAGGTCCCGGGTTCGATTTTGGTCAAGGGCATGTACCTTGGTTGCGGGCACATCCCCAGTAGGGGGTGTGCAAGAGGCAGTTGGTTCATGTTTCTCTTTCATCGACGTTTCTAGCTCTCTAAGCCTCTCTCCTCCTCTCTGTAAAAAAAATCAATAAAATATATTTTTTAAAAAATGTAAAAATAAAAAAAGGGTTTGCCTCCCATGCATGCCTTGACCAGAAGTTGAACCAACAATCTAGGTATGTGCCCTGAATGAGAATCAAACTCAACTGGCCAGGGCTGTTCTGTTTAAATTTTAAGACACTCACTCTAATTCCTCCGAATTCTAACCACCATATCTTCCAATTTGGTGTCATCTATAGCAAATGTGCTCTCTACTTTGTCAATTCCTAGGTCAGTGATCTAAGCAAGCCTCGAAAGCCCACCATGAAGGGTGAACTGAGACTACTTTTATAAGCACAACTCTGGAGTAGTGGACATTAAAAATGGCAATTAAAACTTGTAGGATTCAATACACAGGCACAGATATCTATCTAATATCACTCATTTGTGTTCTTAAGATGAATGTGTCACTGTGAATTCAAACCCAAAAAGGAGGTGGGGTAGGATGGTGGTGTGGAAATCACAAGCTGCAGGACAACATGAGCTGTGTGACAAAAAAGTCAAAGGAAATGTGTATTTCCTGTTTGCCTAAGGTAGGGAGTGTTTGAAGGCAATGCCTTCATAGTGGCCATAGTGGCAGTGGAGTCTATGTTTGTGGAGTGTAAATAGTCACTGGGACAGAAGAGTCCCCTTTGACAGGTTCAGGCCAGATCTTTCACCCCTCAGGTGTCCTCCACGTGGTAAGACCCTTCCATCACTCAGGTGTGGACTAGAAATGGATCATTGTGATTTGATCCTTAGCCCCACCCATGCCACAATTCCTGGACAGTTGGTGGGATTGTCCTGGGTACAGGATGCTTTTGGCAGGAGGATCAGGTCAGTCCTATGTTTGGTGGCTTTGGCTCTGGCTAAGGCCATTCCCTGGGGCAAGTGGGCAGCACTGTGGCTCCTTTCAGAGACATATCTCTAATAGCACAAAAGAGGTGCTGATGAAAAAATAAAAAATAAAATAAAATAATAAAATAAATAAAATAAAATAAATAAAATAATAAAATAAAATAAAAAATAAAAAATAAAATAAAATAAAATAGGAAGAGCCTGATTGGTGTGGCTCAGATGGTCAAACTGTGAGTCAGGAGGTCATGGTTCGATTCCCAGTCAGGGCACATGCCCAGGTTTCGGGTTAGATCCCCAGTGTGGGGCCTGCAGGAGGCAGCCAATCAATGATTCTCTCTTACCATTGATGTTTCTATCTCTCTCTTCTTCTTTGAAGGTAATAAAAATATATTTTTAAAAAAGAGAGGAAGAAACACTTGACTCTGAGAAGAAGGAGGTGGAAGCCATTTGGGCAATTTCAAGAGCAGAGAATGAGAGACCTAAAACTCTGTGGTGATTAGACCAGGAGTATGAAACATCAGAGCTTCAAATAAAGCAACAAAAATGCTCCTTTCTGACATCAACTACAACAAAAAGACTTGGAAATAAAACTTCTGGAAGGAAGCAGATTGTGCTAAAGAACAAGGTGCAAATGCTACAGTCAGACACTCAGTGAGAAATTTTGGAGCTGGCCTTGTACCATCACCTCTGCATCACCTTCAGTGGTGATGACATCAACCTTCATGGTTCAGCTTACAATGGAAGTGACATGGACTTTCCTAACCTGATTTCATCATAAGGAAATAAACTTTCAAATAAAACTGTAATACTTGAGGCTGAAGTTAGCCATTGGAGGTGCTTTGTTCAGACTTCCACAGCCAACAGCTATGATGGTTAATTCCAATAAACCATCAAGAAACTTAAACAGAAGCAAAAAGAGTATACTGATGAACATCAATTTGAAATGGCAATACTTCAGAATGTTCAAAAACAAAAAGTAGAAACGCAAGGGATAGGTATCCTATCTAATAAAAGAATAATATGCAAATTAACCATCACTCTGCTATACCCACCAGTAATGCCCAACAGCCAATCACAGTGAGTATGCAAATAAACCCAACCAAGATGGCTACAGCCACAAAAAGCAGTGTTTCCCAGGCAATGGAGGAAGCCAAACTTTCCGCCTGCCCTTGCCAGCCTAGGCCTCCACAAGGCTACAAAGTTACAATTATAGAAGGTAAACAAATCCAAACAGAAATGGCTGCTGGCCTCGGAGTGAGCAGGAGGCTTGGCTCTGCTCTAGGCTACAAAGGTTCGGTTGTAGAAGGTAAATAAATTCCAGATACCAGGGCCTCCACTTGGGTCACCAGGGGGCGTGATTGGCCTGCAAACCATCACAGGCCCTTGGATCAGGCTACCCCACTCCCAAAGGGAACCCCCATCCTGATCCGGGATACCCTTCAGGGCAAATAGGCTGGAGGGGAACAGTTAGACATCAATCAGGCTGGCATGGGAGTGATTAGGGGGTGATCAGACTGGCAGGCAGAAGCAGTTAGGGGCAATCAGGCAGGAAAGCAGTTGGGAGCCAGCAGTCGTGGATTGTGAGAGGGATGTTGGACATCCCTTAAGGGTCCCAGATTGGAAAGGTTGCAGGCTAGGCTGAGGGACTCCCTCCCCTTCCCTGTGCACAAATTTTGTGCACTGAGCCCCTAGTCATAAATAAATGAATATGAAGAAAAAATTGAATAACTTGAAAATCTGTTACAGCAAGGTTGCTGGGGAATCTGAGAAAGTTCTCTAAATATCACGAAATCTAAAATTCATGATATGCAAAAATCTCTTCAAATTCTACAAACAGAAAAAAAAACAAAAAACACCCCAACAAAACAGTTAACAAAAAAGACCAAAGTACTTTAAATCAGAATTAAATCCCTCAAGAAAAAATTACTTTCTGTACAAAATGAGAGATAGTTCAAGATGAGAACAAAATGAGAAGAATGAGGAAAAGGAAAACAGCTAAAGAATGTGAATTGAAGCGTGATGTTACAAAGCAAAATAGTGTGACAAAAAAGAAAAGTTTTCCCCCAAAATACATTCGTGGGAGAATCATTGAGTGCAACATACTGTCTGCTGCTGAAAATAAAATAATGAGACGGAGCAGCTTAAACCAAGGTAACAATCTCATTGAAAACAACCAATGTTCAGAAAAGAAACCAGCATTAATTCAGTTCAATGTAAGGTAGCTCTGCTCTTTCAGGTCAGTCTGAGCTTATTTCACCACAGTTCTCCAACGGGTCAGTGACTGCAAAATGCAGTCTCTCTGAAGGCAATGAAATCTGATGAACTCAGTGAGTCTTCTAAATTGCTCCCAGAAGGGCGTCAAGGGCTGAGAAAATCAATGTAGGAAAAAGGAGCTACAATTGGAACCATAGAGAAGAGAGAAAGATCACCAGAGATTGATTCATTTGCTGCCACCTCTGGACCAGAAAGAAAATGTGAACTGATTCAGAAAGTAAGCAGTGAAAGGAGAAACAAGATGTTTTATAAAATCTATTAAGAAAAAAAGAGAGAGAGCTTATTCAGAGCAATATGTGATAAATTTCTTTCTTCAAGTGAAAATTTCACTAAGTGAGTGAAAATAAACTTTTGAGGTAGATGGTAACCAACCTAAAGGAGGAGACTACTGAATCTTGAATAAACATATGGAAAATCAAACAGGGAAATGAAAAAATAGTAGAAACTTCACAGGAAAAGCAAACAGAAAATCAAGCACTACAAGAGACAAAGGTGTGGCTTTTTATGGTGGAAAAAAAAAAAGAATTGGAATATGTCGCAATGACAAAAAAGACCCTTGTTTTAGAATAATTATTAAAAATAAAATAAAAAAGAACAGGGCAAGATGAGGGAATTAAATCAGCTCTTAAAGGCAGTCACATTACTCAAAGAGAGAGTTATGTTTCATCAGGAGGGAAATGAAGTCCTGTTTGCACTGAAACAGAAACAAATGGAAAAGTGTGCTTTATGAGAAGGAGGTTCAGTATTTATGTGTCAAAGAATTATACTTAAACCAGGAGCTAGAGAGATACCTTAACCATGCTTTAGGATCGCAGTATTTCCCTTTGCCAGAAGCCTACAGAAGATGGAGCAGCTAATCTGAGAAGGAAAGTCACAGTGTTGTAGGAAAAGCCAGATTCACTTTCTAATGCAAGCCATGGAGTCAGTCAGTAGGTAGAGTCATTGCAGGAACAATGGAATGTTGTCACCAAGGAGAAAGATGAAATTGCATTATAGCTTTCTGTCTCAAGAACAAGAAAAGCAGTGTGCTCACACTTTAGCTAACATAAAGTTGTTACTAGCTGAATGGATACAGAAAACAGATAGTCTAGATGGAAAACTGAGGCGTTACAGGGGTATCTAGATAAAACGAATGCTGGCTTGTATCAGAAGGAAGAACAAATTAAAGAATTTAACAAAATGAGGTCCAACAGCAAGTACTGGGGAACATTAAAAAAAATCAATTAACTTACTAAGTAACACAGAAGGAAAGTCGACATAGTCCAAATGAGAAATCTCTTTAGAGAATATTTTCAAACACCTAAACATGAACATCATGAAGTGTTGATGGGAAGCACCCTGCATATCAAAAGCGAAGAAAGGGAACAGTTGTTCAATAAAGAGCAAGGCAATGTTACTAGGTGGGTGATCAAGCGGCTTAGATAAAAAAGTATCCCCACTCAGCTCTCACACCAATACAGCAGTTGTGCATGAAGGTTCTTTTTCAGAACTTTTTGTTAAATATCTAGAAACAAAATTTCATTCAGCTTTTCCAACAGCAAAAAAAACACTCCACTTTGTGATATGAAGCTGTGAGATTCAACAGGAAAGACAAAACAAGCTTACAATGTGCCACTGTTCAACCTTCCTGAGGAGCCACACCCAAAAACAGGTGTGAATCCCTGTTCCACAGCTGTTTCTCTTAATCCACCTGGACCTGCAACTGGTGGTCCAGGGCATCCTCTTCTAAATGCCACTGCTAAAGTTGTCCTGAAAACCTTCCAAAGCAAAATAGAGGATTCTCAAGCCAGGGATAAAATGGCACTTTGAAACAGTGGCCTTTAGGGAAAAGGCACGTATTTATTTTTGAAGTTTTACTTTGTTTAATAAAAATATTTTTAATAATTAAAAAATGTTAATGTCATCATTAATCAAATGAAGTGTTTCAATATAATTCTAATCTGGAGTGTTGGAAAGAGGCCCCCATATCATCAATTTAATGGCTCTCCAATGCAGACATTGCCTCTCCAACATTCCAACTGTTATGGCTACAGCAACACTCCAAAATCCAATCTTTATCTTGAATACCAAGAATCAATTAGGCCCCATAATCTTAAGGCTAGAAGTCTCATAGCTAGGAAAAGATAAGATACAAAGTACAAGTTTTCTTTCCTGAACCCAAATCACAATTAGATGAGAAAATATGTAGCAAGTTAAGGGGGGGAGGGGGAAGTTGAAACTAAACAAGTTAGGAGAAAACTTAAATATATATTTCATCAACCAAAAGAGTCTTAAAGCGAAATACAGCTAAACAAGGCAAGTAAATACTGAAATATTTTAAACTCTTAAGAGTTAAATGACAACATACAGATGAGAACTAAAAAGGAAACAACGCCGTAAACATCACAGAAAGCCTCCTATCTGAAACAAGTATTTGATCTGAAGCTCCAAGATATTAATTTAATTAATGCCAGGAACAACAGCTTTGAAATAAATGCCCTTCAGATTGTAACTATTTTCCCCAAAAAATAAAGATTTCGTTTTAAATCTCTTATTAGAACTTATAATGTATGATACAATCACTGTGTCCTATTTTTACAATGCCAGAGAAAAGTTAAGCCGTGCCTAATACACTTCATATCTCATTTTAAAGCCATTTTAAAATGGTCCATTTGAGGACTACTTCAAATTAAATATATAATTTTAGTTTTAAAAGGAAAAAAAAAAAAGACTTGCCTTTTCTATTTTTAAACTGTGATAATTAAAACTAAGGCTTTTTACTAAGGAAAATTTGTGTTAAATTTACCACAAAACATTCTAATTTTATAAAAATCAAACGTAAACATTAATCACTGTAAACCTGAAGAGTCTTTCAGTCTTTTAACCAATGACCAGCAATATCAAAAAACAACAACAACAAAAATCTACGAGTTGCAAGTGATTTTTACATTTTAAAAAATGCTTAATGAGAGAAATGATGATATTAATCTAAGTAAAGTTTATGGATATTACCTTTTCTGATTTTTTCTCTTCTGTTTCACTACTGGATGCTCTTGTCCTAAGTTTCACAGAGCCTTCTTTAAAAATATCTCCAAATCCAATCCCTCGAATTTTCTTTGGCTGTGTCACTGATCCAGGCGAAGTTTCATTCCCATTCCCCTGAGATGGGAAAGACAAGGTGGGCCCCGTCCAAACAGTTTCTGAAAGAATAATTCATTTTTTGAAGAATGACATGAAAATCTTGATATTCCCCTTCCATAGTGTTTACATTCTATATCTCCTAATAAAAAATGTCAAATAAAAATAATAAGTTAAATTACAGAGTACTAACATATTCAAAAGAGCAATATGTACTTTTTCCTGATATTTTTCTGGATTTGTGTGAAACTTTAACAATTTAGGTATTTTCAATTAGTGAAATGCTAATTAAGAAATCATAATATACAAAATCCTTAACAAGAGGATGTCAAATTTACAGCTCTGTGCCCAGCCAGTTTGGCTTAGTGGTTGAGCATTATCCATGAACCAGAAGGTCAGGGTTTGATTGCCAGGCAGGGCACATGTCAGAGTTATGGGCTCAATCCCCAGGCGGGGGTATGCAGGAGGCAGCCAATCAATGATTCTCTCTCACTATTAATGTTCCCATCTCTTTCTCCCTCTCCCTTCCTCTCTGAAATCAACAAATATATACATATATATATTTTTTTTAAATTTTTTTTTTTTTAATTTACAGCTTTGGGCAAATATATGAAATGTAAGACTGAAGCATTTAAAGAGATAAAGTTAATCATTATTAAAAGTTCTATTAGTCTAATCAAAGTTAGGGTAAGTTTCTAAATACAAAAACTGGTAATATTAGAAAATTTTTATCTTAAAGAGTCAACAGTTCAGCTGGGACCGGTTTCGCTCAATGGATAGAGCGTCGGCTTGGGGACTGAAGGGTCCCGGGTTCGATTCCGGTCAAGGGCATGTACCTTGGTTGCGGGCATATCCCCAGTAGAGGGTGTGCAAGAGGCAGCTGATCAATGACTCTCTCTCATTGATGTTTCTAACTCTCTATCCCTCTCCCTTCCTCTCTGTACAAAAATCAATAAAATATATTTAAAAAAAAAAAAGAGTCAACAGTTCAAGATCTGTCCTTTTAACTCATGGATAAAGTAATGTAAGTCCATGAAATTTTACATTATAATGGTAAAACTATTAAAGAAAGCCTAATGTTACATGGGTAAGAAAGTTGTTTCTACATGCTTCCTCAGCAGCAAAGGTTCTTATTCAGAGGCCTCAATGAGTCCATGACCAAACCCAAGGAAAACTGTGTGGGTATTTTTTCAGTTCATTATTCTGGGTAAAAGCACAGCTAATAACAGATTCTCAAAGGACCTTATAATCCAAGAAATTAAGTTCTAAAGTAAATCATCAAAGAAAATTCAAGAATCATTTCCTTAAAAATCTGTGATCAGCTCATTGATATTTAACCGTAAGAAAGAAATGAGTAATAATTACAATGGTAGTACCATTTATTCCTGGCTTAATCTGTACCAGGCACTTTCTAAGCACTATACATGAATTATATCTAATTTGTCTTTCCCAAGGCCAACATTTGAATGTAATTCTAGATGGCCCCAAAACCATTTTAAACATTTTAATATAATTTAATAACAAAGCTTCTTGAGACCCAAACCTGGTAGCCACTGGCTCTTACTTCTCAGTCATTCACATTTCCTATCAACACAGTGCAGTTCTTTATATCACCTATTTAGCTCCTATTCTACCCATGTTTCTTCATTCCTATGATCACTCCTCTAGTTTAAGCTAATACTATTTCTACCTTAATTATCAAAACATTCTCAGCTAATCTCCTTAACTAGTCTTTACTCTTCTCTAAAACACTTTTAACAATGCAAGCAAACCAATCTATCTAAAAACAATCTAATCATTTCACTCTTGGTGTCTAGATTTAGCATTTTTGCAATGCTTTCTTAAACCTGACCCAATAATTTCTCCAGTCTCAACACTCACCACAGCCAACTATACTCTCTACAATCCCTCTGAATTGATCTCTTTCATGATATTGAAAATACTATGCTCTTTCTTTATCCTCTGACACAAACTTGCCTAGGGATCTCCCACCTATTTTGGGAACTTAATCTGTAACTTCCTCTAGGGCACATTCCCTCATATCCTGCTAAATTTGGTTTCTCTAACATACATCTATAGCAGCCTAAAGTTTCCTGTCACAAACATTTCTCATGTGGAATTATAATAACTTGTTTAAGTCTTCTTTCCCAAAGGACCAAAAGCTTCAAATATGGAGAAGAATCATGCCTATGTTGCTGACTACTGTATTCTCAGAACCTTGCATAATATGCTCATCAATAAGCACTCAATATATTGATAAACAAATATATGAATTTTGAATTAATTAAATAGTATTTATATTAGGAATTTTCCTTCACTGGCTTTGACTTTCAAATTTAGATTTAAGAATACATTGACTCCATAGGAAATGCCATTGATATCACTACCCATAATTTGCATAGGAATAAAAGTACACGAGAAGACAATTCTATGATTTTTTAAAATACATTTTATTGATTTTGTACAGAGAGGAAGGGAGAGAGATAGAAAGTTAGAAACATCGATGAGAGAGAGTCATCGATCAGCTGCCTCTTGCACACCCCCTACTGGGGATATGCCCACAACCAAGGTACATGCCCTTGACCGGAATTGAACCCGGGTCCCTTCAGTCCCCAAGCTGACGCTCTATGCATTGAGCCAAACTGGTTTCGGCAATTCTATGATTTTTTTTTTTTTTAAATTAAAAGGCAGCTGGCAAATGAAAGTGGTAAAATAGTGAGAATCATCTAATATCCATACCCTCACATGTTAAAATAGCATAGTAATTAAAAAGATCAGAACAGAATTCCAATTGTGATTTTTACCACTCCATGAATAAATTATCTCAGAGTTACAATACCTTCACCTTTAAAACAGGAGTGAACTAATCCCCTCCAAAGTTATGAGACTTTAACATGACAAAGTGTTTGAAAAGTTCTCAGTAAACCACAAAGACCATTCATTCATTGAGCTGTCAATGTGCCAATGTTCTAGAAATTGGGCATGCAGCAATGAACAAAACAAAATGTATATTTAACATAGAGGTAGATAGGCAATAAGAAAATTAATAAGGACTAATAACAAATATCAAAGAAGAAAAGGAAATTATGAGTAGAGGATGGGAGCTTCTGGCTATTTTATCCAGAGCTATCAGGAAAGGCATAACTGAAAAGGTGACTTCTGAGCAGACTGCTAAAATCAGATCTAAAGCCATAAGGAGATCTCAAAGAACATTCCCAAAGATATACAGCAAATATAAAGGCTGTGAGACCAAATTGTTCCTGACTTCTTGAAATGCATAACTACTGGAGGTGAGCACTTGAACTTTCAAAAGGGAAGAAATGGCAAATAACAGGCCACTACAATTATACAGCAAAATAAAACTTACACCAGGGTAGCAGCAGTGGAGATAGTAAATGAAAACAGATTCTGCACATTTATTTAATAGGGTGAGATTAAAAAGAGTAAAAGGTGAGTCCAAGTCTTTGGTCTAAGTCAGTGGTCGGCAAACTTATTAGTCAACAGAGCCAAGTATCAACAAGGTGACCAGGGCCAGGCCAGCCCAGGCCTGCTCTGTGACCACAAGGACAAGGAAACAGGAGTGTGTCTGATGAGTCAAATCAGTGGTCGGCAAACTCATTAGTCAACAGAGCCAAATATCAACAGTACAACGGTTGAAATTTCTTTCGAGAGACAATTTTTTAAAACTTAAAACTTCTTCTAATGCCACTTCTTCAAAATAGACTCGTGAGGCCATGGTATTTTGTGGAAGGGCACACTGAAGGGGCCAAAGAGCCGCATGTTTGCTGACCAATGGTCTAAGTAAAAGAGAGATGGAGTTGTCATTAACTTGAATAAAAAAACTGTATAGAGCAGATTTGGCTGCCAAGAAAAGAACAAATGTCCAGTTTTGACCATCTTAAGTTTATACTTATTAGATATAAATGGAGATTTTGATAGGTTTAGGATGGGGAAAAGGTTTAGAAGGGAGAGAAATTCCAGCAGATACAGTCACGGGCTTTATAGAATAAGGGGGAAAATTGAAAGCAAACGTTAGCAAATAAGTGGAATCTTTAAGTGGCAAAAGAGCACTCTAAACAAAATAGGTTACATATATTCATTATAAAATGGAAGTATAACACTTCCATTGAGAATTTAATTTTCATGAAAATACTAAAAAATATTTTTATCTTGAGATTTCATATAGAAACCAATCAGAACAGAACAAATTATGAACTTACCATATTCCTATAAAAATGTAATAGTAGTTCTTATAACTTTTATTCTATGGTCCTTCAATAAAAACTGAGGGTATAAAAATAAATTACCCTGAAGGATCAGAAAATATTGTCTAATTTTTGTTTAGAATCAGAATTATCTCCTTAACATGGCAGCCAGAGTTTAACTGGTGAAACCAAGAATATTACCCCATTTATTTCAGTTAATTGATTAAAAGAACAGAAGAGCTCTACGAAATGAAAAGAGGGTAAGGAGAAACTATATAAAATAATCAAATTGTGGTGAATATAGCATTACAATATAAGTAAAAAATAATATTTCATAATATATAGTCGACTATATTTCCTATAACAGTTACTAGAAATACACACTACTATCTAAAAAGACTGTCAAGCCGCAACCCGTTTGGCTCAGTGGTAGAGCGTCGGTCTGCGGACTGAAGGGTCCCAGGTTCGATCCCGGTCAAGGGCATGTACCTTGGTTGCGGGTACATCCCCGGTAGGGGGTGTGCAGGAGGCAGCTGGTCGATGTTTCTCTCTCATCGACGTTTCTAGCTCTCTATCTCTCTCCCTTCCTCTCTGTAAAATAACAATAAAATATGTTTTAAAAGACTGTCAAAATACCAATTATAAACAAAGGATATTACACTTTGTTAGGACACAGGAAGAGTGAAGGTCAATTCTTTAATGAATAAGATCAAACTCTTAAAACTTAAAGAATTATATACTTTTATCACTAAAGTTCTAAAATCTTTATAGCACATTCGTTTCCTGGCATTTAAATCAATATTCAAACAAATACTCTATGCTTAAAACTTAAAGTTTAAAAAAAGGAATTATAGTGCACTTAAACCGCTGACTTACCACCCCATAATCACAAAGCTCCACATTTAGAATGCTTGTTATTGTAAACAGGTTAAATAAGCAAGGAAGTATATTTTTAACAGATATAACTGCAAGGTTACTAAAATTCAAAAAAGGCGAGAAAAATGCCCAAAATATTTACAATTATTTACATCCAAATTTAAATTTGATTTCTTTTGCTAGTGGTCCCACATAAACTTTAAGTTTTGTACATATTTTAAGAGCTCAATTTATATAGCATTATAAAAATAATTTCATAAGTTTTAATACTAAATTCTAATGTTAAGAACAAATATCAGCCGAAACCAGTTTGGCTCAGGGGATGGAGGGTCGGTCTGCGGACTGAGGGGTCCTGGGTTCAATTCCGGTCAGGGACATGTACATTGGTTGCAGGCACATCCCGGGTGTGGGGGGGTGTGTGTGCAGGAGGCAGCTGGTCAATGTTTCTCTCTCATCGACATTTCTGGCTATCTCTCTCCTTTCCTCTCTGTAAAAAATCAATAAAATATATTTTTTAAAATAAAGAAAAGAAGAACAAATATCAGAGAACCCAATAACTATAAAACATAAGAAATACCAATATGGAATAGAAGTAAATCAGGGGACAGTCTGCTAAGGAGTTAAATGTACCATTAAATTTAAGCCAGATGTTTTCAGTACTTGTTTGTTCTCTAATGGTTACTATACATCCTTAAAACATAAGTTTTGACTTCAGAACTGGTACTAAACATCCTCAAATAAGTGTAACATAAAATACTAAGTCTAGTTGTTTTGACTCTTCTATTTATTCCTATCTTAATGATTTTCTATCTTTCAATGAAATCAGTATCTGCACTGAAGATTGACTTCAGCATCTTTGATGAGGAATTTCTAAAATTGTGGGTAGGATATTTGCAAAATCAGATCAAAGCTGTATGTAAAGCCTGGCCAATGTGACTCAGTGATTGAGCATCCACCAATGAACCAGGAGGTCATGGTTTGATTCATCCATCAGGGCACATACTTGGGTTACAGACTCGATCCCCAATGAAGGGCATGCAGGAGGCAGGTAATCAATGATTCTTTCCATTGATGTTTCTTTCTCTCCTTCTCCCTTCCTCTCTAAAATCAATAAAAATATGTATTAAAAAAACTGTATGTAAACATCTTAAGTGGGAAGAAATATAATAAGTATTATCACTTCACAATCAGAGTACAGTACTACAGGTTTACTTCAGGCTAAAGCAGACATCAGAGGAAAAAAAAGTTGTTATTTTGCCTACTTAGCTCATTTTGAGACCATGTCATAAGTTGTTGTTGGTGGGGTTTTTTCTTAAAGTAGATAAACCAAAGCTCACAGTTCAAAAATAAGAAAAGAGTTTCAAAAAATCCTATATAATAAAGAGGTAATATGCAAATTGACCATCACTCAAACACACAAGATGGCCAGCAGGGGAGGGCAATTGTGGGAGATCAGACCAGCAGAAGAGGGCAGTTGGAAGGGACCAGGCCTGCAGGGGAGGGCAGTTTGGGGGACCAGACCTACAGGGAAAGGAAGGTGGGGGCAATCGGGGCTGCAGGGGAGGGCAGTTGGGGGGAACCATGCCTACAGGGGAAGCCATTTGGGGGCAACCAGACCAGCAGGGGGGAGCAGTTAGGGGCGACCAGGCTGGCAGGGGAGGGCAGTTGGGGGTGACCAGGCCTGCAGGGGAGGACAGTTAGGGAAAATTGGGCCAGCAGAGGAGCAGTTAGGCATCAAACAGGCTGGCAGGGGAGTGGTTAGGGGGTGATCAGGCTGGTAGGCAGAAGTGGTTAGGGACAATCAGGAAGGCAGGCAGGCAAGCAGTTGGGAGCCAGCAGTTCTGGATTGTGAGAGGGATGTCTGACTGACCTTGACGAGTCCCAGATTGGAGAGGGTGCAGGTTAGGCTGGAGGACACTCCTGCACCCCTCTCTCAGTGCACAAATTTTTAAATGATATATAAGTTTATTTAAATCTATTAACCATTTTTAGAGTTTACCTGAATCCTCCTGGGCTTCATGAGTTTCACCATCATCTGTTATCTCTAATTCTTTCACAAAATTTGAGGGAAACAGTCCCAACTTATTGTTCAGGGTTCCACTCCACCAGCCTTCTTCTACCTGAAAGAGTTCACAACTCAAAAATTAAAAAAAAAAATTTCTCCTAAATGAAAATCTTTTCCCTAGGGGAAAATTTAAGCTACATAAATGAATGAGCACAAAGTTAGTAATGCAAAATAATTCCTTTAACCCTATAAAAAAATACAATGGGAAAACATATTTAAGTAGATTAAATTTAAGTGGGTTGGATTAACCATATGAACAGCACTTTGACATATTTGCTATGAGAACTTGTAATTGTAATCTATAAAGAAATAATTTTCATTTAAGTATCAGATAACCAAAAATATTGTATTAATAGCAAGAAAATAGTTTTCTTCTGGAATGTTACTCTTTTAAAGACTACTGAGCCTTGGTTTGTAATTATGACATAATATTGAAGTATTTATAAATTTTTGATTTGGAAAAAGTTTGATGAATATTAGAATATACCCTCCTAATTGACACATGAAATTCCTCAGCCTTTTACTTGAATAGCAAGTCTTAACCCAAGTATGAAAAAGAATCATTTACTTGTAAAAAGTCAGGATTTCAGGCTCTACTAATAACTCCCTCCACCACAACCAAAAATATCTTCAGAAACCAAACTCTTTAAAAAAATGTATATTCACTAACAAGGATACTAAATTTTCATGAAGTTACTTAATAGTATTTTATTCAGGTTAATTTTTTAAATTAAATTATTATCTGTGTACATATTTTAACATTATCCCCCCCTCCCATACATACCCTCCCTCCCCAGAGTTTTGTGTCCATTGGTTGTACTTATATGCATGTATACAAGTCCTTCGGTTGATCTCTTATCTCCCCCAGATCTCCTTAACCTCCCAGCTGTAATTTGACAGTCTGCTTGTTGCTTTACTGTCTTTATATCTGTCTTTTGGATCATCAGTTTATAATGTTCTTTAATATCCATAAATGAGTGAGGTCATGTGGTATTTCTCTTTCATAGACTAGCTTATTTCACTCAGCATGATGTTCTCTAATTCTATCCAGGTATTCAGGTTAATTTTTAATATTATGTATAGGAACACATTAAAGGGAATATAATATCACTACCCTGCTTTCCTGAAAATAAGACAGTGTCTTATATTAATTTTTGCTCCCAAAGATGCGCTAGGTCTTATTTTCAGGGGATGTCTTATTTTTCCATGAAGAAGAATACGGTACACATTTATTGTTAAATAAAAATAAAGGAAATTTATTACCTGTATATGGTACGGTAATACAGTAGTTGTCAACACAAACCAGACAAATTGTGAATCCTACAGTATCAAGAATTTACTCATTTATTCCATGACAATCATGTCATCATCTTCTGGAACATCATCATAACAATCCAATTCCTGAATTTCCTAGTAAATTTCTTGAGACTCCATTTCTTTCAGAATCAGTGGACCAAATCTCTCATGTTTATCCTGGGGGGGCCCCCCCTTATTTTCGGGGGGATGCCTTATATTTCACTCAGAAGGAAACCTGTAGGTCTTATTTTGGGGGAATGTCTTATTTTCGGGGAAACACGGTAGTAAAATCAACCCCCCATTTGATTTTGAAACAAGTTGTTTGGTTAAAGTGATCCCTTTTCTTTACTATAATTAGATTTTTTTAATAAGTCCAGAAAAAAAATACCAACAATAAAGGCACTTGATTTTGTTGATGAATCATTTTGAATAGCCGATCTCTTAACTGGTTGCAGGAGTGAGTGCTGAAAGATTAACTTGAGATCCCTGCTCAAAGGCATCCATACAACCAAAAGAAGGGACAACTGGTTTGGTGCATTATAACTACAAGGTACTAAGAGGCACATAAGGAGAAGAAAACGCTCAGAAATAAACTAAAATCTAAAACCTGAGCATTTTCAGGGGGACTCAATTATGAAAATGGACCAAACTGAACAGGCACAACAAAGAGGAAAACATAAAAAAAACTATTATCTACACCTGGGATCTCATATTGGCAGCAATTGGGTAGTTAGGTAAATAACCCTATAATAGTTCCTATTGATTAAGGAATTCTTAAGAGGTAGGGAGTGGTAAAGAACACTCATTCAAAAACAGTATGGATTCAGATTCAAGCTCCTCTGCATGCCAAGCATATGAACTGGGGCAAAGATGTCTGAAACAAGATCTACCCCATATGCTCACCTACAAAATAAACTTGACACAGTCCTCCCACCAAGAAGTGGTGGCCTTTGTCCCACCTCTTTCAATCTTGCTTGTAACCAACAGAATGTAGTGAAAGTTAGATTATAAAAGGTTATGTTTGCTGAAATGCTTGCACTTTAAGAGCTTTGTACTGCTATGTAATAAGTCCAACTATCATGAGACCTCTCCCAACTACAGTAAAAAAGCCAAGCCTGATGGAGAAGCTACATAAAGGCTCTCCACATAGGCAGTCCTAACCTACAAGTCTTCTAAGCACCAGACATGAGAGTGAAGAGGCTTTCTCATGATTCCATAAGCACTCAACCTTGAATCTTTCCAGGAGGCCCCGAGACATCAAAGAACAGACACAGTCATCCTTATTGTGCCCTATCTGAATTCCAGATCACACACACACATGAACCTGTCTTTACCATAACAGTAAATGGAACAGCCAATCAATTATCTTCTATGACTCAATCTCTTCATATGTAAAACTGGGATAAAAATTCCTATCTCTAGTTTGTTTAAAAATTTAAAGGAAATAATACATATAAAACATTTTTTCAGGCATAATATAGGTTTAATAAATATTATCATTGCCAACTAGTAGAAATGAAACAAAAATGCCCTTTGTATAAACACACTGAACTTAACATAAACCTAAGTGATAAACTACATTACATATCAGGACACAATATCAATCCCTGTGGCACTGTATGATATGAAAACAGACTCTGAAAATGAGAATTTCAACTGCCAAGTAAAACTTTAATATTCCTTCAATGGTAAAAGCGGAAATGTGAAATTATTATTTTTGTTGTTGTCGTTAACCTCCCCTGAGGGTATTTTTCCACTGAATTTTTGTGGAAGGAAGGGGGAAGAGACAGAGAGAGAAACATCGATGTTAGACACATCAACTGGTTGCCTCTCGCACGTGCCCCTGACCAGGGCCAGGCATAAAGCCTGCAATCAAGGTACGTGCCCTTGACAGGAATCCAAGCTGGGATCCTTAAGTCCAAGGGGCCAAGGCTATATCCAATGAGCCAAACTGGCTAGGGCTAAAATATTTAAAAATATCATTCTAAAACATTAAAATGAGGGAAACATGTTTTTGGGCAATATTTCAATGTGATAATTCAAACAATGCAAACCTTTTTAAAGATTCTACTTTAGTATTCCTTTGCTATGTAAATGGCAAAATTCCTTCTATTTTACTGCTTTGAACCTAAAGTGGATTCAGAATCAAAGGAAAGGTTTAGTTACATTCTTAACTACTCATATTACATTAATTTTTAGTTTAATAAGGTTTGACTTCCTAAAGTCAACAAATACAGTACACAAACATTAGATATAGCGAGGATGAGTGAAATTTTATTTCTACATATAAGACAATGAGATATTAAGTCATTAAAGATTCATTTTGAAGTCTGTATTTTAAAATTTTTATTAAAAAAGGAAACCAATAAACTTGCAAAAAATTGAAACAAAAATTAATATCCTTACAAAGCATTTTTCTGATATCCAGAGCATCAATTCCTATTGCTGCTTTATCGCTAACATGTTTTCCTTACCTCGTCATTAATATCAATAATATCTCCCACTTTCAACTCCAGTTCATCATCATTTTGTGGAATGTACTCAAAGAGAACCTTACATTGCCGCTTCTTGATCTCTAAAAAGAAGTAACATTAAAAATTAGGTTAAGAAAGATCATTAAAATAAGCAATAGCACCTTTATTTACATATTATGTTCACTATTAGAGTATTTACATGTACAAAAACAGAATATTAAGCATTCTAAGCAACTAACCACAATCAGTTCTTATTGGCTTTCTACCTTGCCCCCATGTTGCAATCTATTCAGCCCAAATAAATTCAAACCAACTACAAATAATATATAAGGATCACAGCAATGAAATCATTTATACAATTGATACCACTGATTACACAAAAGTAAAATGCCAATTACCACTTTTGAGACTAAAAAACCTATTTAATAAAGAGGGAATATACAAGTTGACTATCACACCCTCACAAAAATGGTGGCTCCCACAGCCAATAAGGAAGAAATATGCTAATTCCTGTCATGCCCTCAGAGATGGTGGTACCCACAGCCACAAGATGGCAGCGTCCAGTCACCTCAGTTCTGCGGGGGCAGCAGGCACATGGCACGGCTGGTCTGCCCCCAGACAGGCCCGACTGCTTCGAGTGCCTGCCTCTGAAGTCCCCCAGTCCCCTTCAGACCCTGGCTATCCAGGACCTGCCCTAAGAACAGGCAAGTCTCGGATGGCGGCTGCCCAACCAACACCCAATGAACAGGTAAGCCTCAGATGACAGCTGCACAGCTGCCCAGGGCCGCCCAAGGCTCAAGTAACCAGGACCAGCCAAGTCTTGCACTGCCGGCAGTGACAGCAGCAAAAATGTGATGGGGGCATTACCTTCCCCGGGTTGCCTCGCACCCCTGAGGGCTCCTGGACTGTGAGAGAGGGCAGCCAGGCTGAGGGAGCTCTCTCCAGTGCATAAATTTTCATGCACCAGGCCTCTAGTACAAATAATAAAAGACACTATTGGCACAAAAAATGTATCACATGCAAGTCCTCCAAGCCAGTGATTTCCAGACTACATTCTGATCAAATCCTAGGAATACTTAAAATGCACTAATTTAAGAATACCTATTTAAACAGAAATAAAATACACAAGTCTACAATGTACTTTATCTTCTTTAAAAGCCCTGTTTTCTGACAGATAAAAATCAAACTCGTATAGGAAAAGATAAAAATAGTTTTATTTTTAGCCCAGCTAGTGTGGCTCAGTGGTGGAGCACTGACCTATGAACCAAGAGGTCACTGGTTAATTCAAGTAGGACACATGCAGGCTCAATCCCCGGTAGCAGGTGTGCAGAAGGCAGCTAATCAATGATGTTTCTCTCTCATTGATAGTTTTATCTCTCCCTCTCACTTCCTCTCTCTAAAAATCATTAAAACATATGTATTTTTAATTTTTTTGCATTAGCTTTTCAGATAAAGTTCACTTATTCAGATAAGTAATGATCATTTATAACCATCCAGGTTTGTGATTCTCAACTTCTTTCAAACTCTTAATAACTGGGAATTCAGAATCACTCCCATCTTTAACAATGAATCATTAAAGCAGCTATGGGTAGGTGACCAGGTATGGTTATTAAAGGATTGCTTCTTGCTATTCAAAGAAATCAAGAGGAGGCTAAGATTTGTAAGAGTTGTAATGGAAGAATTCAGTGAAATCATGAACAACAAGTGGTAGTGAGGATGTGGAGAAAAGGGAACCCTAGTACACCGCTGGAGGGAATGCAGAGTGCTGCAGCCACTATGGATACAGTACGGAGTTTCCTCAGAAATTTAAAAATGGGTCAGGCATTTGACCCAGTGGTCCTACTTCTAGAAATATATCCTAAAAAAACCAAAACACCAATCAGACAGAATACATGCACCTCTATGTTCATAGCAGTGCAATGAGCAAGAGTTAAGAGCTGGAAAGAGCCCACGTGTCCATCAGCGGATGAGTGGATAAAAAATTTGTGCTACATTTACACCATGGATTACTATGCTGGGGGCAAAAATGACAAAGCTGAAGCTGTACTACTTTGGGCACATCATGAGAAGGCAGTTACTTCAGCTCTCACATTCTACTTATCTATGAAATTATCAACATAAAAAGTAAATCCAATTGAACCATCAAAACAACAAAAGAACATCATAACCAACATTGTGAAGAGGTGCAAAACAAACATGACAATCAGGTAGAAATAAGAAACAGTTACGACAACAAGTGCTGGAGAGGATATGGAGGAAAAGGAACCCTCTTGCCTGTTCTTGTGCACTGCTGGTGGGAATGCACACTGGTGCAGCCATTGTGGAAAACAGTGTGGCATTTCCTCAGAAAATTAAAAATGAAACTTCCATTTGACCCAGTAATCCCACTTCTAGGAATATATCCCAAGAAAACAGAAATACCAATCAGAAAGGATATATGCACCACTATATTCTTAGCAGCACAATTTACAATAGCTAAAATTTGGAAACAGCCTAAGTGACCATTGGCAGATGAGTGGATCAGAAAACTGTGGTACATCTACACAATGGAATACTACGCTGCTGTAAAAAAGAAGGAATTCTTTCCATTTGCAACAGCATGGATGGAACTGGAAAGCATTACGCTAAGTGAAATAAGCCAGTCAGAGAAAGATAAATATCTGGTATTGTGATTCCCTCCAACTTTGCTGTTATTTCTTAAGATTGCTGTGGCTACTGGGAATCTTTTTCCGTTCCAGGTAAATTTTTTAGAGTGTTTGTTCTCAATCTGTGAAATATGCTGTTGGTATTTAAATCAGAATTGCACTGAATCTATAGACTGCTTTGGGTAGTATGGACATTTTAATCATGTTAATTCTACCAATCCAAGAACTCAGTAATTTTTCTTCCTCTATCCCTTTTTTCAATATCCTGTAGTTTTCCCTATAGAGGTCTTTTACCTACTTGGTTAAGTTTATTCCTAAAAATCTTTTTGTTGTTGTTGTTGTCGCAATGGTAAATGGGATTTTTTTTTAGTTTTTATTCTAAGAGTATATTATTAGTATATAAAAATGCCACCTGGAACCCAAGGTGATGGCTGCGCACAAAATTTTGTACACTGGCCCTTTAAGAGGGTGCCTGCATTTGTAACCATCTCTCCCTGGCAGATAGAAACATAGAAACCCCACTGCCTTTCACAGCCAGATGTTATGTGGGCACATTTCTCAGTTCTGGTGCTGTGGGCCCATCTTGGGGTTTAGATCCGAGTTCTCAATACGGAACCCCCATAACCTCCTGCAGCTGAGATATCCCGCCCAAACTTCAGCTGCTGTCTATTGAAGCCCAGCCAACCCTCAAACGCCGCTGCCCTTTTTACCAGTCTCTATGCGGTCTCTACTTTCCATCTTTGGTTAGTGAGGTGACCAGACATCCCGATTTTTAACAATTTGTCCTGTGGCGTTTTTAAAAAGTCCCAATTTTTGGAAAGAATCTTCGGGACTTTTTTAAAACACTGCGGGGACGCGGGACAAATTGTTAAGAAACGGGACTGTCTGATCACCATAGTTATAAGGGTTCTTCCCAGCTAGATTTCAATTGGTAATTCAAGATGTTTTTTCTATATTTTACTTGTAATTCCAGTTTGGTACTGGGGGTGAGGGGGAGATGTCAGTGTAGCCTCCACTTAATCTGCTGCCATCTTGGAATTCCCACTGGTGGATTCTTGTATGTATTATGACCAGGGATCAAACTAGCAATCTTGGCATATTGGTGCAACATTATAACCAACTGAGCTAACCAGCCAGTGCCCTCTTTTTTAAATTGAATTTATTGGGGTGACGTTGGTTAGTGAAATTAGATAGGTTTCAGGTATACAATACATTAATTTGTATACTGTTGTATGTTTACCAGGCCAAGTCAAGTCTCCTTTCATCACCATTTATCCCCTCTTTTACCTCCTTTTTCTGCCACTTCCCTCTGGCAGTCTCTATACTGTTGTCTGTGTCCATGAGTCTTCTTTCTTATTTTTTGCTTTGCTTAATCCCTTGGCCCTTCTCACCAAGCCCCCAACCCCTCCCCTCTGAGAGATGAAAATGGAGTTCATCTCCATTTTTTTAGTTTATTTTGTTCATTAGATTCTACATATAAGTGATATCATATGCTACTTTTCTTTCTTTAACTGGCTTATTTTACTTTCATAATACTATCTGAAAGTAGTAACCAGTATTTTCTTATCACAAGTAATTTCCATCTAGCTTTTCATATCTATAAACAATGCCAAGAAAGTTTTTTAAATTGACAATCCTATCTATAATAATAAAGACAGAATATGCTAATTGACCATCACTCTGTCACAAAGATGACTGCACCCACAGCTGAGGCCACATTCCCATAAGGAGCTTTAACGAGCAATCAGCAGGGCTTGACAGAGGACCTTAGGCTGTGCCCACTGCCCTGCGTCAGGCTGGGGGACCTCAGGCAGCACTCCCTCGCCCCAGTGCCAGGCCAGGGGACCGGAGGCCACACCTCCACACCCAGCAGGGCTTGGCATGGGACCTCAAGGTGCACTTCCCATCTTGATGCTGGGCTAGGGGACCTCAGGCTGCTCCCCCTGCCCCAGCACCAGGCTGGGGACCTCAGGCTGCTCCCCCTGCCCCAGCACCAGGCTGGGGACCTCAGGCTGCACCCCCCACCTGCAGAGCTTGACAGTGGACCTCAGGCCACACCTCCACCCAGCGGGGCTTGATGGGGGACCTGAAGGTGCACCCCCAGTGCTGGGTTGGGGAAACTCAGGCCAGGCCCCTGCCCAGCAGGGCATGACAGGGAGCCTGAAGCTGTGCCCCTCTGCCAGTGCTGGGCCGGGGGCCTGAGGCTGCACCCCCCCCTCCATCTGGCAGGGCTTGACAGGGGCCCTCAGGCCATGGCCCCCACCCAGCGGGGCTTGACAGGGGAATTCAGGCCATGTCCCACACCTGGCGGAGGTTTGATGAAGAACCTGAAGGCACACTCCCCGCCCCCGTCTGGGCTGGGGGACCACGCCCCCATCCTGGCATTGGGCCAGGGGATCTGAAGCTATGCCCTGTGCCCAGCAGGGTTTGACAAGGGTGGGACTGGCCAGGTCTGG